CGATTCAGAAGTGCAAGGACGAAACGCGCTTTCCTTCAAGAGAAGCACATGGAAAAGGCCCAGAAGCACTTGCAGGAGCTGGAGTTCCATGCAAAGGCTGCCTTGATTTTGCACAACGAGTCTCATCCTCTCGGGCACCATGTTCTCAGACAGCTAAGGGAGCACTCCGACCACGAGGGCCACGAGGAAGAGCGCCCGTCCTTCTTCATGAAGCCCTTTGTGAAGGTCCTGCATGCGGCTGCCCGGGCACCTCTGTCACAGCAACACCTTGAGAGCTTGCATCGCCTTGACGACCGGCACTACTCCTCCTTGAACGGGGACACCCGCAACGCCCACTGCCAAGAGCGGGAAGACATGGCCAGGGAGCAGCCGGACCACTGGTCTTTGCACCACGAGGGCATCAAGGCCTATGTCGACTGCATCTGCACTCAGCGGAAGCCTTCTCTGGTGTGCCAGGCAGGGAAAGGGTCTTCGTTTGCAGTTTCCAGCTTACATGTGTGAACTGACCAGGCCCTGTGTTTGTGTTCACATGAAGGGAGCATGAGAGAGGGCCTGCGCCAGGCTGTGCACGCTGAGGGCCTGGAGCAAGCTCGCGAAGAGGCCGAAAGGCAGGTAGCCGAACACGCAGAGGCCGCACAGGCCGTGGGTGAAGCACCGCTCCCAGATTTCGACAGCACGAAACACATGGACGGGCACATCTCGGAGCTCCAGACCTATGCCAATGACAGCTTTGAATTTGAGTCGCAGCGGATGATTCCCATAGGCCCCTGCGATGCGCCTTTGTCGTGCACGGTGTGCACCGAAGGTGTTTGCGTGAGCGCACCCTTCTCTGTGGGCATGGATGACACGTCCCCCTCCGGATATTTCAATATGGGCAAGAACGTGTTGAATGTGATCTCCCAAGGCCTTCACCATCCCAAGCCTCCGTGCTTTAGCGTGAGCTGCACGGCCTGCATCGGGATGAAGCCCGGAGACTTTCTCCGAGTCTTGCTGCATGTGGGTGCTTCTTCCGATTGCGGCGGTTGGGGAGTCTACTTCAGCAGCTTCAAGATCAGCATCGGGTTGGAGTTTTGCTTAAGCGGAGGCCCCATCCAAAAAGTCTTGGACATCTTCAAGAAGAGTGACATCTGTATGAGCCTCCCTACTCTCTCCTACTACCCGTTTGTCGGGAAGATGGGCCTCACACACACCTGGCAACCCTGGTGGTTGGCAAGGGCAGTGGAGGCTATCGTCGACGCCACCTGGCCAGTTCAGGGAGTTGCCAAAGCCGTTGGCCACCACTGCTGGTGGAATCCTGTGAAGCAGAGCAACAACTTCGTTTACCAAATGACGTACAATCTGTGGAAAAGGTTTGGCCACACTTGGGCCTGCAATGCAGTCGGCAACAGGCTGACAGGGTGCCCATGGTCTCACAATCATGGAGTTCAGGCCTGCAAGCGAGAGTTCATGCAAAACCGCAAGACGGTCAGCTTGAGGATCAAGGTTTTCCAACCTGCATGGAAATTCAGCATGAGGACTAAGTTCTACAAGGAATGGGCAAGGTGAGACCTGCCGAACATGGAAGCTGATGCAAGCGACATTGGAAAAAGAGGTGTGCTCTTCACAGCTGAGCATGCTGGACGTTCGATTCCCAGGTCGCACGTCACAGGAAACATTCGGTCCCCTTGTTTTGGAAAACTATTACATAAAGGATCTATATCCCCATATAGCCCCCATATATCCCTATGTGACCTGGATGACAAGCTGTCCGGAAACGGCCCCAATACATCTTTATACAATCCCTCCATATCCCTACGGAATACGCCCTGTTCCTGGGATTACAGGTACACACATATATATATATATGTATACATATGTATATACAGATATATATATATATACATATCTGCTTTTTCTCTTTAGAGGCTGCCCCCAGAATCGTTGCTGGCGGTGCGCTGCGGGCAAGGCGAGAGGCGGCAGGCCATCTGATAGCCTGAAATGGGCTCAAGAACCTGCAGGATATAGGAGCTATCGTCTAAAATCCGTGGATGGGGTTATAGAGGGGATTATGTAAGGGAGTATTATAGGGGTCATTAGAGGGAATACTAGGAGTTTAGACTTTCGCTGATATGGCGATTCTGGAGGCAGAATCGTCCAAACAATGGAGAATCAGATGGAAAAAAACAAATGGAAACTGGCATACTGTGCAGGCATCGCTCTCCCACCTCTTGGATGGCCGGAAGAGGCCGTTGCGAAGGGATTTTGAAATGCTTCGTACAGAGGTGAAGCAAGCTCCCCCCTTTGAGCCGAGTGGGGTCCCCACATACCGAAAGTAGGGCCCTGAACGTGAGGTTCCCAACACTTCAGATGTTGGGAGCTCCATCTTGAAGTAGGATCCCCCACCTCTAAACCATAAACCCTAAGCCCCAAAGTCATGGAAACTATAGTATATTGGGGTTATAAGGTAATAACTACCATAGAAAATTGGAGTTATATAGGGATAATGGAAAAGACAATGGAAACTACTATAGGAGCTATATGCTAATAACTACTCCCGAAGTTCGACAGCAGGACTGCATAAAGCCCTGGATGCCAGGCTAAAACTCTCCAGCGCCCCCGTCCTACAGGCCATCGAACAGCTCAACTTGCCATGCTGGTGATAATTCATGGGAGTGGTTTAGAGTTAGGGCTTAGGATTCAGGATTAGGGTTTAGGGTTTAGGGTTCAGGGTTTAGGGTTCAGGGTTTAGAGGTTCTGGGTTTTGGGCTTTAGGGTGCAGGGGTTTATGGTTGGGTGTTTTAGGCTTGTCAGTGTCTTTGAGGTTTTTGGGGAATATTGGTGACCGGATGTTTTTTTGGCGGCAGGAGTATGACTATGAATCTCACATCATTATGCTGCAGATACGTGGAGCAATGCGAACAGAAGAAGAAGAAGAAGAAGAAGTAAGAGCAGGACATTGTGCTGAGATCTTGAGTCTGGTGATCGTCAGATGTCGAGTCCTGGGTGGGCTCAACTTTCGGAGTTCTAAGAAGGGTTCAAGGACCCCACAAAGTAAAACAGTAAAACACGGAAGCCTGGATGAAATAAGCTCCGTCAAAGCGGCATGACCTAAACGCCGAAACCCCTACATCCCTACACCCCTAAATCCCTAGATCTCTAAACTCCTAGAACCCCAAACTCTAAACTATACCTCCAGCCGGGTAGGTCCAAGTTCTCCTTGAGGAGTCCGTAGCCTGCCTGACCCCAGCTTAGTCAGGGCTGGGCGGTTTGGCAGCTTCCCATTACCGTTACTTTTTTTGCAGTGATTGTTAATTTTGCTGCTGCTGCTGCTGCTGCTGCTGGATGGTTCTTTGAAATTTGTCGTATAGGCTTCTTCTTCACTCATCATCGTTGTATTCCTTCACTGGCTGGATGTGCAGTGCTCTTGCGATGACCTGCAAGCCACAGGACGCTAATTAGAGTGGACCTTCACCTGCCCTTGTCCATGTGAGCTCTCCGGGCTAAGGCCTGCGTGCCCGAAGCTGCACGAGGTCCACTTCCCCAGGCTTCCCAGATTCAGATTGCTTCCACATGATGTAGATTTGGGACAGCTGTTGCATCTGTCTAGCTGTTTGGGGGTCTGTATTGGGTCCCCCCTATTTAGGGAAACTACCAGATTGCTTTTGTCTGGAAGGTGCGAGGAGATCTTGGGGCTCCGTGTCAGAGTTCTGCCCTCAAACAAACTCTCCCGGGATAGACAGATGAGATTGCATCTTTATATCAGCCTGATATATCCCTATAACCCCCCTATATATCCTCATATAAGGAGATATATATATATATATATGTATGTATATATATATATATATATTGCATATATATGTATATGTATATATATATACATATGTATCCCTGAACCATATATGTATATATGTATATATATGTATTCATTCCTATAGAAGCTAAGGTGACATCCGACTGGAGCCCTTTTTGGCAGAGACCAAGGCCACCGGACCTTGGGGCTATCAAGGGGAGAGGGGCCGGGACTACTAAACCCCAAAGCCAATACTCCAATCCCTGAATCCTAAGCCCTAAACCCTAAATAGTAGTTTCCATTTTATTTTCCACTATCTCAATATAAAGCTCGTATAACCCCTATCGAATCCGTGCCCAAAACTGCATACCTAAATCCCTACACTGGTATCCCAGAACCCGAAAAGCCCTAAAGGGCCATTTTGCTGAAGGTCGGCCTCACAAGCCAGTGTGGAGCCGCCTCGTCTCACCGCTCGCGAGCCGGAGTCCTGGGAACCTGGCTTCAGAAACCGCAAAGTTGAGGAGTTGACGGGTAGGTTATACAGGGATCTATAGGAATATATAGGCTTTTATGATGTTCTATGTAGGGATATGTAGGGCTGTATAGGGATATAAGGGTTTGGGGATTATCAAGCTGGTCCAAGCTGCTCCAGCAATGCTCAAGGTACTTGTGCCAACACGGGCTCCTGGATTTCGCTCAGGCACCAGGGGATCTGGAGCACTGGAGCTCAAGGTGTTGTTTCTCAGTGCCTGCTGAACCGCAGGGCGTTCTACAGGAGCTGGTGCAGGCAGCGGAGAAGAGCGGGTTGGGATGAGGGAGGGGGGGTCCTAAAACCTTGAACCCTCAACTCTTCTGCAGAGCGTTGGAAGCGATTTCTTCGCAGGCCCAGACCAGGGACCTGTTCAGCGCACTACGTATCCTGGAGGCCAGGCTGCGCGCAAGAAGCGCTCAGGGTCGCCAAAGCCGGCAGAGCTTCCCAGAGGGACCCTCTCTTGAGCCCTCTCTCGTGTCTCACCCGCGAAGCCGCTGAAGCACCGCAAAATGCGGCAAGCGACGGCAGCAAGCCATCAAAAAAAGGTCTCATCACGCCTTTCTACTCTGGCAACCTTTCACAGCCCCCTTTCCAGCGGCAGCGTAAAAATCGTTTGTTGCGCAGGTCTTAACCGGTTTCGGAATGGGTGGAGTGGCACCAGCTGGAAGCAAGGCAGAGAACCGAAGAACCCGGAGAGATGTGAAAAAAACTGTGATTCTTGATGGTTCCAGGGCGCCTCGCTGGCTGTCCCCGGCGCAGGAATCCCAGGAAAGATCCCCAAATTTGACGGTAAACTTTTGAAAGGCTGGGTAAATGGGAATTTCCCGAAATAGGGGACCCCAATATAGACCCTAAAGTGTTATAACCCTTATAGTAGGGACCCCCAAAATACTTTGGGGAAACTCCCCAAATGGAGTTGCATCTAGGGCTTTCCTGAACCCAGGCGAAGAACGATCGCCGGATGTCAGCGGCTTCTGGTCTCGGAGACTTCGGAGGGTTCCCATGGGAAGACTTCCGACTTGGGGTTAGTAGGGAATAAGGGAGTAGTATAGTATAGAGGGATTCAATAAGGACCATATTCCCTTATTCCCTACTAACCCCCAGTCGAAGTCTAATAAAATGATTTTGGTAACCCCAACCCTCAGAATAAAGGACCCTATAACCATTATATGATAGTCATAGAGTGCTACTTTTGCGGGCTGGGGATACCGAAATTCTTGTATTAGATTTACCCTACACCCTAAACCGCACACTGGCGCTTTTGAAGTTGCCAGGCTCCCGGAGTTCGTTGAACAACCTCACCAGGGTCCAGGCAGAGCTCTGATCTTGCAGTTGCCAAAAGGGATGAGGGATATCAGGGGACAAAGGGGACATAAGAGGACATAAGGGGATAGGATATATGGGGATATAAGGGGATAAATGGGGATACAAGGGGATGGAGTGGGGATACAAACTCAGGCAGCGCGGGATTGTTTGATTGATTTGCCACCCCCTCCCTTGGGCTCGGCATCGTGTCGTATGGAAGTTTCTAGACATCTCAGTATTAGTTGGGTTCATCACTTGAACGGGAGGTGTGGTGTCCCCTCTCCATGGGGATGATACCCTGGAAATCATGGCGGATCAGATGCAGCTCGAAGAGGCTTAAGCTGGGCATCTCGTTGGGGCATCTGAAGCACATGGCCCGCACAGATGGACAATGAGATCTTCGAGCCGCTGAACCAGTTCGATGACGACCTCAAGGACCTAATGATCGACTGCATCACGGAGAAGGTGCTCGAATAGAAAGCCTCGGGGGACCTGCAGGGTCAAGCAGTGCTCAGGTCCGTCGGATCTTGTCCCTGGATCCCTCCAAGTACAAGAACGGCCGGCTCCCTTTCGGCTTGAAGCCTGACAAGGCACTCGAGGGCTTGAACGTTTCGCGATGGGGCAGGGCGGAGGGGGGATGGGGGAGATGGGGGGAGGCGTGAGGGTCATGAAGCCAGGGCATCGCCTTCGGTGACGACGAGGACTTGGAGGCATCCTGCTGTGCTTGGTGTGGAAACTTTTGAAGAGGGCCTGATCTGTCTGAGGCAGAGCTAGAGAGGCTCCGGGAGCAGAATGAAAGGCTGAAGGAGGAGAACGAAGAGCTGCTGCGAAAGCTGGAGGCAAGCCTAGATGCCCTCCTCCCAACAGAAAGAGATGTTTGTTGAAAGACTTCCACCATTCCTTGTGTTACTGGTGCCTGGTAGGGGATAGAGGGATAGATGACACTAACTGTTGTAGTTCCCACACCTTGAATCCTCGAAAACAGTTTTTCTGTCCTATTTCCGACAAGCCGCTTATCGTGTAGCCCCCAGCCATGTCAGGTGGCACGCGCAGCGGCCGACCGCTGGAAGCAGAAGTTCCTGGAGCTTCAAAATGCGGCCGGGGAGGTCAAGGCACCCAAATCGAGGGAGAAGCCTGCGCGCCCCAAATACATTCCGGAATTCGCAATTCTTCCCCGATATGTTTTCCAAAGCTATACCCTTGGGGGTTCCCTATAATAAGGGTTCTAGTATTTTTGGGTTTATTTTGGTGTCCCCAAAAGATCTTGAGTTCGGGTCTTCTTGCCAGGAGGAGCCAAAGGTGGAGTTGTCCAGACCAGCCTCCCTGAAAACGCGGCTCGTTCATTCAAGCGCTCAGGGTTTGAGGGTTTAAAGCGGCTGGAAGTTTTAGGTTTCCTTTTTTTTCTGTTGGGTGGTTGCGGATTTTGGGAGTTTTGGGGTTCAGGGGTGGTCTCCACTCAATGCTTTGTTTGCTTATTAGAAAGGAAATGATCCCTACAAGCATCCCCACATACTCCCCAACCACTTCAGCGATGTTCCCCCCTATCATCCCCCCTATGGTAACCCTAAGCCCTAAACTCTGAACCCTATATACCCCTTGAATTCTACACCCCCCTTTCCCCCCAGCTTGGGATCAGCTGAGGCCCGAGTCCCCGAAGCCGACGGAGTCTGCTCCGGCCAGCCCGGTCAAGAAGGGCCTCTCGGACGAGGAGGTCAAGAGGCCTGGGTTATGGGGTTTAGGGAGTTTAGGGTCTAGGATATAGGGTTTACTGTTTAGGATTTGTGGCTTAAGCTTTAGGGTTTAGGATTTAGGGTTTAAGATTTAGGGCTGAGCGTTTTGGGTTGGTTACAGGGCCCACTGTTTGGGTCATCAGGGATGTTGCTCAAAGTCACGACTGCTTTTTTGGAGGGGACCGTTTCAGAAAGGCAGGGGAAAGAGAGCCCTAAACCCCAAGCCTGTTGGACTTTACCGGCTGAAATATGTACGTAAAAAAAGCGCTTAAAACAACAGCTCTAAGCACATAAACCCTATGACCCTAAACCCGAACCCTTAAACTCCGTGCACTCCTGAGATGAACTGGGCCCGCAGGTTGCTGGAGGAGCAGGAGAAGGCAGGAGTGCTTTGCGTGCCTTTGGGCCCTAAACCGTAGACCGTAAGCCCTGAACCTTTAAGCATCTCCTGTTTAAGGTTCAGGGTTCAGGCTATACTATAAGTTATATAAGTTATGAGTTGTAAGTAGGTCTCAAGCAAGAGGGGCCCAAAGGGGACCCCTACACCCTTGCGCTTCAACCTTGGAACCGTGAGGCCTACAAGGCCAAGCTGGCGGCCTTGGAGAAGCGGATCAAGATGCTGGAAGAAGAATTGAAGAAGCTGAGGGTACCGGGTTTGGCCAATTTCAGGGATGTATATAGTCCCCCTTAGGTAGATAGAATATGGCTTTCGGTATATTATAATAAGATCCCCATATACCCCATATTCTATCTACTTCAGGGGGACTATATACTATAGTGTAATATGCCATGAAACATAGGGTTTAGGCCTTAGGGTGGCCTAGCCAAATTTCAGGGTTTCGCGTCAGCTTCTCTTTTGGCATCTTTTTGGGGGTTTAGGCGGCAAAAGCGGAGGTGTTAGGAGATGAGATGGATCTGGATTGCAATGCATCGCATTTTGATGGGCCCAATTTTGGGGGATTACTGTCATACGTGGGACTGAAAGGGCATCACCCCAGGAAGTCCGGCACCCACACTATCCTGACCCCTTCTGTGCTTCACCTAGAAACCTAAAAGTAGGTAGAATAATGGTCCAAAAACCTGATGCATACCCATTATTCTGCATACTTTGGGGGTCCAGCTAGACCCCCTAAACCCTAAACCCTAAAGCTCGAGGAAGAGAAGGACAAAGCAGATGCCCGGGCCAAAGCAGCCGACGACGCGGCCAAGAAGGAGAGAACCACTATCAGACTTGTCCTTCTTCAAGATTTTGGAACAGTTTAGGGTTTTAGGGCTTAGGGTTGCGAATCTAGGGCTTAATAGGAGAATTGGAGAAGGACATGGACAATGAAGTAGAAACTGGGGTGATGTGATACAACACGGCTTAAGGAACTTAAGCAAAGTCACCAGTGTCAGGGGGTCCTATTGTTTGATTTGTACCACTCAAACTAAGGTCCTTAACAGCAACCCAGGCAGGTTGGGGTTTAGGATCTAGGATTTAGGGTTTGAGCTTTAGGGTTTAGGATTTAGAGTTTAGGGTTTAGGATTGAGCTTTAGGGTTTATGGTTGTGAGGTCCGTCTCGCAGTTGGAGCTGCACAGCAGCATGCTCCTAGCTTCCTGGCACGTAGCAAAGTAGGAAGCAAGCCAATGGCGTAGTCCCACTTAAGTTTCATGTAGCAAAACAAAAAAGACACAATCGTTTCCTCCTATTCCTTGATTTCACCACCCCAAGCCCGAAACCCTGAACCCTAAATGGCACAGTAGTTTCCACTTTCCATTCTGGAAGCCCTAAATCCTATAAATCACAATAACCTTTTAAAGGGACCGAAGCGCCAAACAGATTTTCTATTTTCTTTTCCAACCCTAAACCCCAAAGCCTAAACCCCAAATCCTGAACGCCAACCAGACCCCATAACCATTGACCCATTCTGAGGAGCAGGAGCGCCGCAAGACGCTCGAGGCGCAGCGAGAGCAGGCCTGGTACTGGCAGGACTGCTAAGAAAGGCTAACTAAGGGTGGTTTAGGTGGGTTTAGTGTTTATGGTTTAGGTGCTAGGGCATTTGATTTTTGTTGAAGTGTTTGGCAGGCTCTTTTTGTCCCCGCTCCAAATTGTTTCCTAGAACTCATTCTGGTTGCGCTGCGAGTGCTTGGAGTGGTGCGTGGTCACGGCCAGAGCCCATCTGTTTTTGGGTGGAAGGTACGACTGCAGAGACATGTGGGAGCTAGCTTTCTCAACAAGGGAGTCTTACGATCTGCGCCCCACAAGACATTGCAAGCAGGGTGTGAAAACCGGTCCATGCAACTGCTGCCGACGTCTCAAGCATGCTTGCGCAGGAAGGGAGTCTTTCCCCAAATCCCTCTACGATCCCTAGTCGGGACGCCCATGATCCCCCTAACTCCCAAGTTTCTGCCCAAAACGAGTGACAAGGGATTTGCAAAACATACCAGGCACCACCGCCGGAGGCACCGGTTGCCCCGGCGGACAATGCCGCCAGCTTGGGTGGAGCTTTCTCAAAACGGCAGCCCCTGCTATATGTACCCAATATATAAGAATCCGTTGTAATTATAGCGAATTTTAACAAAGAGACCTTAACACTTTGGAAAGCTCCTCATGTAAACTGCTCTGTTCACACTACAGCTTGCACCAAGGCAGCCTAGCATCAAATGGGGTTTAACCCACTGCAACGGGCTGTGTAGTGTGAACTGAGCCGTTTCCGCTGAAGAGTGGTTGTTGTTGATTGTCCGCTTTGCTTGAATGCCTGTGTCCTACTGCCTTTTGGGCCACAGCAATACAAGCCGAATGAGAAGCTACTGAGTTCATGGCAGAGACTTCACAAGGAGTAGGAAATCCATTTGAAGGGGACCCAGCTCCCTGGGTCCAGGCCAAAGTGCAGGCTCCTGGGGGGCTGGAAGAGCTTGGGGGGCGGCATGCTGCCGCTGGAGCTCTCCGCCTACGATGCGGGCAGCGTCCTTAGCCTTTACCAGAAGGTGAATGAGGGACAACATGTAGCTGCCCGTTTCTGTGGAAGGATGGAATCATGATGTTCTGAAATTCATGGCTTCTCTCTCCATGAGTCCCAGATTTTGAGGCTGCTCGCCCATGAAGCGGCCTCCCTTGCTGGATCTGTTCCTTGTGGCTGCCGGGGCCTTGTTCTTCTCAGGAGTTGTGCCGCGGAGCTCTTGTTGCAGTTTGGTGTGCTCCGTGCAAAGTGCTTGCACTCCATATGCATGTTGTGCTGCATGCCCCGACTCATACCAAGTAATCATCACCATAGTGATAGAACTACCAGTGCCACTCCTGGAGTTCTGCTGGCGATTCGCATTAGCATTGCTAGTCATAGAAGACTGCAAGGTTCTACTCGCCTGCACAGAGAAGCACCATATAAACCCATACATAGTCTCAGTTTCCATGTTCTTTCCCTTTGATTCTCCATCATGCTCACACTAAACCCTATAGTAATTTTCCACTCTCTTTCGCTTTGATTCTCCATCATGCTCAGTCTAAAGCCTACAGTAGTTTTCATGTTCTTTCCATTCCTCGCTGAGTAGCATGAAGTTGGGGTTTGACGCCACCTCTCTCAACATGCAGCCTAGATGATCCCCCATAGGGACGTTTACAACCTTCTTATAATCCCTATAGAGCTCCTCAGGATCCCTAGGGCCCCTCCATTTTGAGAAGATTCCCAAGCCCCGAAACCAGTTTCCATTCAGTTGTCCATTGGTTTCTCCATTTGCTTCTCCGTTATCCGGGTAACAACTACTGCCGGTAACAACTACCTTGAGCCCTAAAGCCTAAGCACTAGAGTAGTTTCCATTTTCTGTACCATTTTCCCTTCGCAACCCACAGATAACCCAACTGCCTTCAAACCCTCCAACCTACATACTAGAGTGGTTTTCTAAACCCTAAACCCTCCATAGCCCCTAGAAGAGTCGTTTTACTTACTGGTGGTTAGTAGGGAACACGCGAATATATTCCCCACATAACCCTGTACAATATATTCCCATAGTCCCCACAAACCCCAATATATACACGATTATCTCATATAGTAGTTTACGTTTTCTTTTCCATTATCCCTACATTTAACTCCAAAATATTCCCATATTCCTTACTCACCCCCCATATATACCCTAAACCCTAAACCCTGAACCCTGAACCTTAAACCTGAAGCCNNTAAACCCTAAACCCTAAGCCAAACAGTAAGTTTAAGGCCATCTCCTTTGGCATCTCTGGCCTCTGCGCAGCGGCTACGGATTTCATCCCGTGGAAGCTGCGGGAGCTTCCGCCGTGCCTTTGCCGGTTTTCGGGTTAAGGAGGAGATATGAGCTACGGACTAAATTGAGGTCGGGGGGGACCTCTAGGGGAATATATAGGGTTTTGGGGGACCTATCAAGGGTTTTGGGGGGACCTATCAAGGGACATACTGCAAGTTTAGTCCAGGGCTCATGTAGGGTTTAGGGTTCAGGGTTTAGGGTTGAGGAAATGGAAAAGAAAATGGAGACTACAAAA